TTTTATAGCTGCTTTATTTAGCTCTCAACAATTTTTGCAGTAAAACTATTTATTAAATTTATTATTCTGAGGATAATATCTACATATCCTCTAACCCAAGGATAAACATCTACCTACCAGTGACCGTTTGGCAGCTCCTGTGGGATGAACTAAGGGTTGTAAAGGGTGAGTTTGCACACAACAGGTCACTACTCCGTCGCTGATACATGCTGGCACCGTCCCCATCTGTGTCGGAAGCCGCCGCGCCTTGGCAATGGAAGCAGCCCCCCCCCAGCACCACTGCAGCTCCAAGAGCCGAGGCTGAGAACAGATGCACCGCTCCCACCCCTAGCATCCTACCACCGCAGGGCCAAAAATGCTTTAGAATAAAAATACTCTAAAGCAGGACATGAAGCCTACATGCCCACTACAAACTTGTGGGAAAAGAAAAAAAAAAAGTCACAGGAAACCCAGCTATACCCAGAGGGGTTGGCTGAGAATGACCCTGGCGCTGTTTTATCCAGAGTGAGGATCGGTGATGGAGACTTTCCTGATTAAAATAAACTACGTGAGAAAGAAAAGGAAGCTCCAGGAAACAGTAAGTAAACTGTGTTTTTGTGTTCGTAAGTCTCGTAAATGAAAATAGAAACTTGACATTTAAAAACAAAAGTATAAACTAAGCACTTTGCTTTCAGCCCTTTTAAATGCTCAGACACTGGCGATCAGAATAAACCTTAGCTTGGGACATCCAGATCGCTTCTGATACTGACAAGGAAGAAAAAGCAGCAATTTTAGGCAAAAAAGCTAACGCGCAAATTCCATTGCCTCCCCATACTTCAGTGCTGTGTGGTACTACTACGACCCAGCAGAAGAGTGGTATTTCTTTTGTTTAAGACCAACATAAATAAAACCTGTTACTGAGAAACAGTCTGTAACAAAACCACACTAATGAGAGATACACACACTCTCTGGATACCACAATCCTTTCAAATGTATTTGAAAAAGAAGTTCCCCCTCCAAGGATACGCCAGGTAAAGCAGCCGCCCCGTTTTTCAGCCCGGGCAGCCCCAGAGCAGAAGCCACAGCCCAGCGCAGGGGGGGCAGAGGAAAAAAGCCCTTCACGAAGCACTTGCTCCATGCAACCTGCTGTTCGGCAAAGCCTGCTGTCCCTACAGCCCTCGGGAGCTCAGCTCCCCGGGGAGCTCCTGCCGCGGAGGACGGAGTCGGAGGTTCACGGGAGCCAGCGTTTGGGTTTTCACCGGGTGCACGAGCCGGCCCCCCGCCGCAGAGAGCGCGAGACCGCGATCCCGGGGATCGGGGGGCACGTCCCGACTCTCTTGCTCTTCGCTTCGGCGACCACGGCTGGTCCCACCTCTCCACCCTGCCTCCGTTTCCTCACCTATAAAACGCAGGCAATGAAACTGTGCTCTCCACTAAAGAGCGGCATTCAAAGCCATTTGGGATGTACCAATGTCATAGCCCAGCTCTGACTTGTTCGCTTCCCTGCTCATAAAAAAGTAATGTGTCATAACCCATAAAACAATGAGTCATAACCCAGCTCTAACTTGTTTACTCCATTGCTCATAGCAAAATAACGCAAGCAAGACTGATGCTTACAGGGAAGGAATTCAAGCAGCGTAGCACAGTACTCCCCTCTCCCGTATTTCAATTGTAACGCAGCAATAGGTATTTTAATGAGGCTTTACTACTACAGAACAAGGCTTTACCTGTGGTTCATTTCTCAAATTTTACTCAAGTCTTTTTCAGCATTTGGACACCCTTTAATCTTTTAAATTATTGTCTCACATGTATTAAAAACACACACATAGATTACACATATTAAAAAAAAAAAGAACAACATTCCAGCTTACATTCTCTATGACAAACGTCCATTCTTTGTCTTCAAACTCTTCAGCGTGGGGATCCTAGAAAAACAAACCAGAGAGCTTAAGTCTAAAAATAAGCCAGGGTGCAAGGAATTGCAACTCAGCCAAGATTTTCATACACTCATAGGAATATTTTTACCCACTGAAGATGACAGAGGGAAATATTTTAGCTAGGATGTAGGCTCCAATGGATGTCAATAAGATGAGCAGCAAGTAGGGGTAAAACTGCCAGTGAGGATTTAATAAAGATTCCTACAGATACAAACATGAGGTTGATTCTGATAAAGGCCCGTAATTCGATTTCCTTTCATCCAGAGCCAAAAAGAAGATAAATCCCTCTCTAATTCCGAAGTTCCACCTCCCAAATAAACACAACAAAGCTCCGTCTTGCCGAGAGGAGCAGAGGAGGGCACGGCTGCCCCGCGGGGCGAGAAGGCACACACCCGGAGCGGGCATCGCCCCGGCCGCCGCGCACCCAGAGCCAAGGGCACAGCTTCACCCCGAGGTCCCGAAACGCCTGCCCTTACTGCACAACGTTTCTGTTGCGTCACACGTGAGGGTCAGAAAACATTTCCACCAACAGCAAGATAAATAACAACGAGGTTCCTGTATGTGGCATTTGTTCGCCATTTAATGAGCTTTCAATCTGCTGGTGTGGTCTGCGTTGTCGTCGTCTGAAATTAAGACGACGGTGGAGACATGAAGTCATCCCCTTCATGCCTCTATCAAGGATCGCACTTTAAAAAAAAATACTTTTAAAAAAATAAATCATTCGTTTATGATCTAATCCTAGTTCTGAACAACTGTAACAAAATAACTTCTACTCCTCTTGCAAAACAGCTTCTCACACTAAGAGAATGTGGCTTTAGGCTTTCTCGGACATGAAGCCTAATTTTGCTATACCTCGATTTTATCCTATTATTTCCAGTTATAGGAAACCACACAATACTTCCTTTGCCTCTGACACTTGCATGCCATAGACACTTGTAGACAAACGTCACTTCCCCGAAACCAACATTTGCCACCATCACATGAGACCCCTCAGCACCCGCAGAGTTTTCTCGCTGTTATTTGGAGTCTGCTCGTGATACCACGCCAAGCACGGCACCAATTCCACCTGGCTGCCGTAAATTAACAAAACGGATCGAGACACTTTGCTTCTACTTTATCTCCATCAGTACCATCCTTCCTTTCTTTCCATTATGCTACAATCCTCACATTCAATCTTTTCAACTCACCTGGTCTCAGTTCTTTCCTTTAACCATCCTTGTTTCACTTCGTTTTGCCCTGAGGTCAGACCCACCGCGAACAGAGGTACTGTACCGCAGCACTACAAGTGACTCTTAACTAGCTCTCATCAAATACACAAAATAAAAGATTTTGTAAGTAATGAGCTTCCAGCATAAACAACCAGCAAAAATAATATTTTTTTTTTCTTTTTCCAGCACACAAAAAACTTGGAAAGTGTGCTCTTAAATAAACCTCCTCTGTGAACGAACCACAGTAACATTTCTAAGAGGGTATCGTCCTATCTCCTCCAGCGCGGTCCCTCCTACAAAATCCACAGCCAAGTGGGTTCACTGCTCTGCAGACGCCCCGTAAAACCCCGGCTCTCCTGGCTGGGGGAGTCCCGCCGGGCACCGACACGCTCACGGAGGGAATTCAACAACACGTCACACCGCCGGCACCAGCAGTAGCTACGGATTTAATAGCTACAACCGCAGCTGTCACACGCAGCAAGCGTTTCAAAATGCATTACTCCAACGATGGGATGTACTTTCAACGAAAAAATACAAGATGTTACCAGAAACTTATGTCAAAACTGATGATTTCTTTTGATACATGAGTAAATCTTTGTAGAATTTTTTAAGAAATCCAAGTAAGAAATCCAATACTGCAAACGAGTGTTAAAAACACACTGTACCGCTAGCTATAAGGATAGAAGGGCAAGTAGATACATACAAAATTATACCGAGGTATCTCCGTGTTCCAATTAACGTACTTGTCAATATCAGATTATGCAATTATACATCCATCACATCAATCAGGTTTGTGGAATTCTGCATTATGTAAATAAAGTGCGCGATACCTGCTGGTTTGCTGTATCCTATATAAATTCTAAAGATATAATTTTCTGTAATCCAGCTATTAAATACTTATCATTTTCAAGAGTTAACCTGGGGCAATTACCTTTTTGTTTAATTGCTTCCTTTGATACAGCATAAAATGACATAATGAGATTTAATGGGATCATTAATCACTTTATGTTTTAATAAGCTGCTCCATAATAAGTGACTAAACTCTTAAATATTTCATCCTGCTCAAATTTTTTTTCATAACTCCCCCAAAAGCTATTAAGGCAAGCTTGGAGGTTCACCTATAACTGCTTGCAAAGCCAGGGCCCAGCAGTTTATCCCGTGACAAACAAAACGATCGTCATTGTGTTCACGCGAGGCAAGAATCTATAATGAAAAGCAAAGTTCTTCTATCAACGGCAGTAAAACTGATCCACGTCTCTGAAGGCTACAGACTCAGGTGCTCTGCTGAGTATTTCTGATAATCTGATAGAGCAAAGTAATACTGTATAATCAAACCACTTCTTCATAGTCAACATTTTAGCATGCACTTGAAAGTGAGTTGTGAACACTTGAAAAACAAGCGTGAGCGTATTACCCCAAACTCCTTACCAACTACCCAGAATAAAAAATAAAAATTGAAAGCTTCAAGGACTTCTCTAATGAACAGCCTTACCGAAAGCTCGGAGAGTATGAAACGTGCTAAGATATGGACACTTTGCATATGTGTAAGACGTTTCAGATTTAAAGACAAACCTAGATTTTTTTTTTTTTAAAAGCCACATTTCTTGTTAGTCTTAAAACACCTCTAGAAACAGAAAACCCCGAACAAGCTTATACACAAAAGCCTCAGCATTTCCTTGCAACAGACACGTAAGTGGCTTCCCTCTTCTCACTGAAACGCTTTCATCAGAAGCCCAGGGAACAGCACGCACAGTCCTATTTCTAGCTAACATACAGCTTTACTGCGTGGTCAGCGTTAACAGATACGTGTATGAGCACGGTCACAACAAACTCCCTATTGCAACCACCATTTCACCCTTTTGGCTAACAATTCCACGTGTGGTCTCCATAAAAAGTGATGTTTCTGCAAGTGTGACTAACCTTTCATCTTATTTTGAAGAAGGTAAACACCAGTTAAAAAAAAAAAAAAGCCTTACCAACACCTACTTCCTTCACTGGCTAACCCATATTCTCCATTCACTTCCCACATAAGACTGCTGCAATGAATTTAGCAAACTATTACCTAAGGACTATACAGCTCACTACTCTTTAGCAAAAAAAATGCCTTTGCAAAGAAGAATAACCCTAGGAGTAACGGTTACAGCTGCCTTAGAAATCCTCGCGGTCTGAAACCCTCCCTGGTGGCACAGCAGACACCACCTCCCCTCACCTGCCAGAAAACGGGCAGCTGAAGACCCCTGGAGACAGCAGTGATACACAGACCTCGTACCCACTCTCCTTCCTGAAAGCAAATGATCATGGAAATGACCTAAAAAGCTCAAGGAACAAACTATCTCCAGTATTTTTGTCAGCCTGAAACTGCCTCGTGCCTCGCTGTAACACGAAGGGAATGGGCAAGAGCCCTTTTTTTGATAATGCTCATTTTCTCTACCAACATGCCACAGATGCAGAACTAAACTCTATCCAACATTCATTATGGTTTTACCTTGACTTGAAAACTGTGAATATTTGGGCAAATGGATTGAACAGCTTATTGTTCCTCCTCATTTTATTGTGTAAAAAAGAATCATCATTCTTAATATCAGGAAACAGGCCTCATTTTCCCGTTTCTCATTCCATATGCATCCACCTCTCAGTATAAAACTTAGTTAAGATACTGAAAGGGAGTGTCAGAGCCTTCTCTGTTCCCCCCTACCCTTTTTTTTTTCCCCTCCTCTCTCCTGGCAAGATGACTTTAGTGTTCAAAAGTAACGCTCGGGTGAGAAGGCAATAGTAAGGAACTGTGCAAAGGGTGGGACATCATCTTATTGTTCTCCTACAGCGAGACTCTCCGATATTCATTTCCCCAACTCTCAAGATCAGTAGAGCGCTGTGGTCCACCCGCAAAAACCTAGCCCATCTCACATTTTCCCAGTAACTGTGTTAACTACTTTTCCAGAGATACGCTGGCCCTCGACAAGTTCGGTCCTACAAACTCTTCTCTGCAATCCCACCCATCGCCTTCTTTCTATGACCCCATTCTGCCCACCCACATCCTAACTACCTGAAAACAGACAACTCTTCTGGGCTCGGGCAAGGAAGAGCAACAAGGAATGTGTCCGTCACATTTTTCTCTTCTCTGTTGATCACTCCATCATCAGCCCATTCCACAAGGAGCTGTGTCAAGGAGGAGATCCTTTCTGCAGTGTATAATGTGGTTTCAGAAGACTGAAGAAAGGTAACCCTTCTCCAAGGCTTTAGGTTCCCTTCATAGCCATTTCTGTATCACTTGTAACAGGAATGAAAGACGTACTAGCAAACAAGGGGCTGCTCCTGCTCCTAACAGGCAGCCAGAGCGGGTGGGGAAGCTCTTCAGGCTGTTAGTCCCTTCCTCCCTTCCTTCCCTGTGCCTCCTCCCGAAGCTTTCCTGGCTTTTGAAGCTTGCCTTCCAATTAGATCACTTCATACCAGCCTTAATCTTCGGTCTTTCTTCCCAGAGAAGAACTACTTAAGGACTGTCATACTGAATCAGATCAAACGATGACAGAGTTTGTGATCTTCCTCCACCAGTGACCTATAGCAGATGCTTCGGGTACTCCAGCATCTGTCCTCAGCTTTTGTACTTGGCTGTTTCAAGCTGCAGAGGACTCAAAATTTGACCCAATTCTTGTTGCTTTCAATGCTGCTTACAGAGGTCTGATTAGTCTAGAAAATCCCATACAGCTCTGGTCAGCTTTTGCTGAGCTTCCAGAAGGCGGACGGGCAGAATTGGTCCTGTACATCACCGCACCGCGCCGCAACAGCTCACGCTTTCCTGTCAAGCCTCTGGGCTAGAAAGGCAACAAGGACTGACATTTGGGGGGGTTATATGTCTTTAAAATTAGCCCCCACGTTAACCCTGGGTATTTAATTTTTTAGTGCGCAAGTGTGCTCAATTCCCTGAGCTTAAGACTTTTATATCTGACACACAACATCTTGCCTTGTCTAGAGGGCTGTTTTTCCCACCTATGGAACATTCTCCATAGTGTCTGGCCAGGCCCTTGGTCTCTCCTTAACTGAAACAAGTATGTTCTGAACCTGGATTTGTTCTTCGCTTCTGGGAAATGGCTTTATCAAAGGGTTTTGGTTCGGGGTTTGGTTTTTTGGTTTTTCTTTCTCTGAGACAATGTATTGGCTCTCCTGCAGTGCTCCTGCTAGGGCACGGCCAGTTACTGCCTATATTCAAAGCACATGATTGACTCAGGCTTTCAAGAAAGATAAGGGATTTATTCTGAGAGATATGGGAGGACGGGAATACTTTCAGCAATACATCTCTTTCTATCATCTATTTTATTCTTATTTTACTCATAAATAATTTTTTGTTTACTTAGAAAGTTATGCCTTTTAAAACTTCTTTTTCAAACTTTGGAATAAAGAGCCGGTAATCTTTTCCCTGTTGGTGCAATAGTACACTGGTGTGATAAACCATGTATATTACTGACAAAACAAGTGGGTTTTGTAATCCAATGGAGCAAAGTCCATGCTCACTCCAGAAGAACAAACATTTTTGCTTAGAAAGTTCACTTTGCTTTTAAGCTAGAAAATAATGATGTTGCAATTTAAATCCTCACAGTCCAATTGATGTTCACTGAGCTTTGCTAAAAGCACTGGGCTTGCTTGGCAGTGAAAATTTCTCAGTTAAAGTCTCTCTCAGTCGGTACAGGTATGTGTGTGTACATAAAGCCACGGAAAAGCATACAAGCTCTCATATATGATGGTTAAACCTTGCTAATGCAAGGACTCTAAAAATGAACTTCTGGAGTGCAACCATGGAAACAACAAAAAATGGGAATTCAGCTAGCTTTTGTGGCATTTGTGGATCTTTCCATGAAAGCACTACAAATCACAGGCTTAGAATGCACAATAGGTTTGCTGTTTCACAGAGTTTCTTTCTCCTCGTTTTGGTTGAAAAACCTAAGGCATAACCAAACATCACTGTAGAGGACAGCAAAGAAAGAAGTCAAAATTTCAGAACAGACGGAACTTTTTCCGTGAGAAGCACTTCAGCCGGCTGGATGGGCAGGAGCTAGAGCTAGCTAAGGGAAGCCAAATCAGTATGTCCGTTTGATGCTTTTCCCCACGTGACTCCAGAGCATTATGAAATTTTGCCAGCAGCCCACAATTCAGTGAAATGAAACAAAAAGGTTTTATTTATTTGAAATGTAAGTTTTCTGAACAAAGGTTATACTCTCTTCAATGTTTAGCTCCGCTTGCCTAAGAACTACAAATATATTATTGGAAACAAGCTAACACTCAAAATAGGGATGTGCAGATAACGCAAAGCATCTCGTCTGTTGACTGATCACAGGCACTTTGCTAGCCAGCTCTCAAGTGTCCAGGGGTGGCTACTGGAGAGGATATTCTTAACATTCTCATCAGCACTTGAAACCTCGACTTATCTCCTAATCCTACCAGCACCACATTTCAACAGCCACTTACGAATGCACAGCCACTACTGTGTGAATCATTTCCCAAAACACGTAGCTGTCTATTCTGGAGTCCGCTCGAATTTCCCTTCCCTGCCCTTCTATTTCAAACGGCACCGCTGCACTAATTTGTTATCCGTGATTGCTACACGGCTCTGTCGGAGCAACCTGCTCCCGTCAGCGGGCTCTGCCAGCGCGGACGGGGAGACAGCAGCTTCCCTTCGCTTCTCGGCTTGTAGCGAAAGCGGACAACCACAGTTAGTTAAACAACACGGCCAGGCTAAGTGTACTTACTGCAAAGTGCCAAACGTTCACCAGTTGCTCCCCGTCGCAGGGGAGTCGCTCCTGAAGGGACTTGTACACAACTGCAAGATGAGTGGTCTCTTTTTCTGAGCTTTACTGCTTTCAGTGTTTTCGCCTCCCTCCTTCCAGAGGAAGGAAGGATGCAAACACCTTACTCGCAAGTCAGCTCCCCAGAAGGCTCCTGCGGTGCACTATTACGTACCCCGCTTCCCACTACTCCGGTGCTGACCAACCAGTGCATAAGCTCTGCAAAAAATAGCTCCTGCTTTCTGACCGCCTTTGCCCAGAACGTACCAGCTACAGTGCTCAAAAAGCACCGCTCTGTACCACACCTGCGTATCCCTACGGAGAAGAAAGTGGTCCGGGCCACTTACAGGCACTCTTGTTGCAGCGGCCAGAGGATCAATGAGAACAGATTTACACAAAGAGCTGCCTGACAACATGATGCTTCTCTACATGATCTCGGCATTTTGATTCTAAAAGCCAGTGCTCGTTCCCCCAGAGATCGGTGGGTACCGTTCCCAGAAGGCACACCCTCTGAGGTTATTCACGCTCCTACCTCTCCTCCCAGACCAACCCTTGCGATGGACAGGCTCATTTTTGGGGAGATGAGGAGGAAATCCAGTGAACACATCTGCCTGCAGAGTCACAGTGCTGGGTAGGGTAAAACCACGCTTGTGGCAATATCTAGCACCGGCTCCAGAGGCCTTTCTGCCCCCTCAATACGTGGTCCTAGCCAACGGTCTCCGTGGCACAACTACAAGGCGGTTGTGCCGCGGTACGTAACACAGCCCCGAAGCGGGGCAGGTAGGAATAAAAGGTGGTGTGGGGTGGCAGGAGAAGGCTGGGAGACACTTTTACTCCAAAGCCACAGCATCACAGCTGCACTCAAAAGAAACTTAATTTCTCCTTCTTCACGTAACGTGTTATCGCATACACAATCAAGAGTTGTGTACATTTGCGCTTCACTTTAAATGTTAAAAATATTAAGTAACATTTACTGAGTTACATAACCATATTCAGATTATTCAGACACGCAGCGTAGTCACATAATGGCGTTAAACTTCTTAATCCAAGTAAAGGCCCTCGAAGCATGCAAACAATTTTTGCTAGTGAACTTTTGAACCTCAGTTGAAGACTATGTGTCTGCTAAGAAGAGAGACAAATTTATGATAGTTACCATCATCGGCAACCTGGGAAGTTCCTGTTCACCGGTGAACCCAAGGACAAAAAAAAAATAAATAAAAAAATAACACACACACAAAAAACCCCCAACAACAAAAAGGAGAGAAATCCACTTTTTAGGCTTAATGAACCGATTAATAAGTCCACATTCTAAGGCTAACCAGAAGCCACTTCTAAGCAGTTACTTAGGGAAGTCCCCAAGACAAAGAAATATAACTATTACTAATTAGAAAGAAGTATGTTACTGTTGCCCTAAGCTGTTAAAGACAGCAATTATAAATAAGAACAAGCAGAGTGTAGCTGGAGACACCAGAGTAAAGAACAAGAACGAACTGATGGAATGAAAACCCCAGAAACCTCCAGCCTCTTGGGCAGCCTCCTACGCTGTCACACGTGCAAAGCTGCATTGTTTATCTTTACGCAGAGAGGGCTCTGCCCTGTGATATTTGGGAAATAAGTTCTAGCATAATCATCAATTTCTCCTCCTGCTTCGCAGACACACAAATAAGCTTCTTTTTTAATAGAACAAATGTAGTTCCTAAGAAAAAAAAAAATCCCTTGTAAATTCTTATAATTCTCTGTACTACTCAAATACCCTACATCCACTCCTACGATTGCAATCACGTAAGTACTGTGATGTTTGTGTGGCATACTAAATACTGTGAAATTAAGAGCTGGATTCTGTTTCCTGGTCAATGGCATAAGAAACAGGGTCACTGCACTGCAACCGAAGGAGGAAGTCTAGAAATGACTGTGTTTTGACAACTTCTGGCTTACAGTATCTAAAGAAAACCAACCAGACTATAACCCATGCCAAGCCCTTACGCATGTACTACGTGCGCAGCTACACATGTACTCAACTCTATGCCAATGACTCGCCATAATCAGCTCAATGGGATATTTCAGTGCGTTAACTGAACTACAAAAGTAAGCTTTGGCAGGCGACAGACCATCCTCCTCTCCCGGATTTAAACTGGGGACATAAGGTTGTGCAGTTAATGACTTAAACCCAGCAAGGTTAGGCCTTGTGACTATAATCTGATGTTTCCCAACAGAACTTGTCATATGCTGTTTATGAAACAGGAAAGATTATGCTTTAAAAAAACCATACCTTAAAGAGCGTCACAGTAATCTCAACGTTCTCAGGAACAGGCCATACCACCACCCCGCGGTATGGGTTCTTGATGCCAGGCTGCCAGCTATGAGCCTAAAGGAAGAAAAGAAGGAGTTGTCAAGGCCATTATCAAAGTGCTGACTCGATTCCCACGGGACCCAGCGCATGTAGGCAGAAGTAAGATGTCACCAACCTCAAAAAGGTTGTGTTCTTAAACCTATGACTCTACTGAACACTATAAAGGACATCATTAAGAATGACAGTAAGGAAACTCAGATCACTAGCAGGCTTTTTGTTTTGGTTTGGTTTGGGTTTTTTTCCACTGAACTAAAGTTGTTCCTCACAAGATCCTAAACTCTGGGGTTTTTAAGCATATAGCACAGGTCAGGACACTCAGAGCCTTGTAAAAAATTAGGGCTGTAAGGCCAGAGCTTCTGCAGCCAGCTAAGGTTTTATTTTGTTTATATCCAGATGAAGGAATGCTTTTATTTAAAGAACACAAATACATCACATAGTACACACTTAACCACATTTACACCTAAACAGAGCAACAAGACAGTTTTATTTAAGAAAAAAAAAGTGAAAACAATTATTTATAATACAGATTAAATGCTACTAAAACATTTAAATTCTTAGGAATTAATATGCTGGAGTACCTACACCTAGAAAAGATAATGAAAAACACCAGAACAGTTAAACAGACTGAGAACTTGTCTACCTTTGAGTATGAATTTGGATTGATGTATGGTCTGTATTTACATTTCAACAGCTAGTCCTGAAAAACGCCATGTGTGAGCATTTCTGTTTCAGAGCAAGTATGCTTTTTTCCAAGCTCAACTCAATCTGTTTTGTGGTGCTGTAAGACAAAGGAGGAAGGGGTGCTGAGGCGGGAGTGACTGCTGGGGAGCAGGGATGCTATTAGAAGTCTGTGGCAGTTTTATCAGGAAAGAGCATACAATCTAGTTACTGTTATCTGAAGCCAATTAACTCGGCTTTTTTTTTTTTTCATTGTCGAGCACACTCATTACAGTTTTATACTCCTTCCAACACTCAGAACTTCAGATTAAGACTGCCTACTGGAACAAATTTTTGCTATAATAAGGTTAGTAGGGCTTGTGCCTCAGGTTCTCAGGTACCCTAAGGTAACCTGGGCAACTTTAACCATGACTTTGCTACACCAAAGTGGGAAAGACAGAGATGGTGAAACAGCCCCATTCAATCTCAGCGAGGCAATAGCTCTCCGCCGCCGTGTGCCCGATGCCAGGTTCCTATCCGACGGCCCCATCACACGTGTCTGCTGCTTCATGAGCCCTCCTGCCTTCAGCTGGGCTTTCGCCGGCGCCTGCCGCACCACAGGTACCTCCGGCGGACTCGCTCTCACTCTAATCCCTCCATCCTCACAAAGCAGAGGTCTGCGGATTAACCGCTGGTGACGACGACTGCTAAGGCAGCAGGGACAAGGAGAGGAAGGACGAAGGGAGAGGCAGAGGAGGTGGGAAGAGATGCGAAGCTGGGGAACGGGGAAGCTGTGGTCAGAATCCAGCCCGCGCAGCCCCCAAGGAGAGCGAGCCCTGCCTGCCTCCACAGCTGCGTGTGCACGGCATCCTCATTTCCATCCCGTTACTTTTATTTTCTGCCGCACACTGCCAGCTCTCCTGTGGTTTTATCACAAGTTTTTCCACCTTTCGCGTTCTGCTTAAAACCCCAGCCCCCAAAGATACCCAATTACATAGGAAGTTTCTATACTTTGTGCTTGCAGAGTAAACTTAAATAATACAACTTGGGGCACCTGAGGGAAGGAATTTTTAAAAAAAGCAACTTGAAAGAAGCCAATTTCTACTATTTTTGACTCCACAAATTTCAGCTTAATCTCATTATTCTAAAGCAGGCCTGGATGAATTTCTGAATAACTAAGCAAACACCACTGTTTGTAGCTTTACTCCACAAGCTTATTTTATAAGAAAAAGATGTTTTGTGAGCAGCGTAACACACCACAGTAGTTGTCATCCCTACCGCAGCCGCTCTAGCTCCAGCTTGCATCTCCCTTCCAGTCCCCCACATCATTCCCAGCTTGCCTGGTGGGGATATTCAGCAGGCACAAGGCAGCGATCCAGAGCTCACCTGCCAGCTACCCTGTCCTCGCGTAGCATCTTGTAAGATAAATCAACTTCTCCTCCATAGGGGCACTCCATCCTCTTCCCAGATACCAATTTTCACAAAACTCGTAGGAGCTCACGGCATGTCTGGAACCTGCGCTTTCCTGCTGGTTTTGGCCAGTACTGACAATTACGTCAAACTTGTGATGTCCACGGTGCAAGCACTGACAGCCTGCTCAGCTGAGGACCGCTTGGTCCTTTTATAAAACAAACTAGAAAACAGGCATTCACTGGTGCAGGCAAAGCTTTACTTCAAGCCCTTCATCAGCATCGCCTCCCACCAGGAGAGTCAGCGAGACACAATAAACACACACACGCAGATACAGATATGATTTTCTGCCACGGTGACAGGCATGTCACTGAAAGCAACAACCAGGAGACAAGCCCCAGCTAATGAGCTTTTAAAGCAAAGCTGTTCTGTGATCAGCTGAATGTTATTAAATCCTCCTTTGACTTTGAAAAGCAAACCCTGTACCACACAACCAGCGTGACAGAAACAGGTAACATCAAAACTACGTCTGGGTTGTTGGGAAGGAGGAAGGGAAAGGGGAAAGCAAAGGGGGGAAGAAACACAGACAAAGGGGTAATGACGACGATGATTTAAAATTAACATGGTGAGTGTTATTCTAACACAATATTTCTCGTGTCAGGGAGCTCTGTGCTGCAGTTTCTTGAAGCCACATCTGGCCTACATCAAATAACCTTTTCAACTCCCAAATTACAGGCCTTGACTCTGACACGTGAGCCGGATCAGGCCACCTCTGCACAGAGAATTGCCAGCACTTCCCAACAGGCGACTGCTGCCAGGGCTCAGCCAAGGCAAGGCGCTGCGCCTGCACCGAACATTTCCACCCTAATCCTCACCTCCAACTCGGTTTCCCACTGGGTTGTGCCTTTTAGAGCCGTTTTTCTCTCATCTCCTACTAGCCTTCACCAGCCATCTGCCCTTGCCTCCCAAGCCAAGGCGGGAGAAGCGGCCAAGCAGAAGGGACCGCCGGCAGCAGGTGCTTCACCCACCGCCCTCCTTCTCCCTAGACTCATCTCCTCAATCCAAGGGATGAGAGCCACGGCCTGGAAAGAGGAGCAGAAACGCTCTGTTGTATTTCAAGGAGAAACACAACTCCTCTCTTTTTCTGCCAGCAGAAAAAGAGAGGAGACGACGTAGCATGAAAGCTCTTTCAAATTAGGAAACAGGAGCTGCAGGAGGGGTTGCTGAAACACCCTATAAATAGCATAGGGCTGTCAATGACATTGTCCAACCCACGGCACTGCTCTGGCACAAAACCGATGACTGTTAGAGGAAGACAGCTGTTTAGGAAAGGACGCGGAGGTGAGCCTACAGACTCAGTGAGCACTCCAGGCTACCCAGTTTTGAGATCTTTCCCCAGTTTTCCTCTCTAGAACGACAGCAGTACAATCCAGACAGCCGGCTTTGCAATCTACCGTAGGCAACGTAGCGAACATCACAACTGTTCTGCTGTGCTTGAACTGGAAAGGCAGACTCAATACCTCTGTGGTTTTGGCCTCTGGTTCCAATGAGAAGGGAAGAATCTTTAAAAATAGATTGAAATCAGCAGCTTACAGGGCCAGATAATTAAAACGTCCAGCATTCCATATGATAATGCACATACAACACACCAAAGAGCTTACAAACCGTATTCAAAAACGAGTGAAACACTCCTGAAAATACCAAATCTACTGTCAAGCAGGCTTAGTCCATAGTTTCAAACACCAAGAGAGCGCTCTGACGTCTGTGCAAGTTCTCAACATGCAGTAATGCTTAAGCTGTTACCAGCAAGGTACAGTCTCTCCGCTCCGGTAAGTGCCCACTTTTTAACTCGGCTAAGGAGCAGGGTCTCACCCACCTCTCTCGGCCCAGCCGGAGGCTAGGCACCCTCAGTTCTTGTCCTCCAGTACCTTCCGCTGGGGAGCACAGAGTGGGCTTGCTTTTACCAGTGGGCTTAATTACAACAGTAACCGTTCCCGGCACGGCTGAAACTCTCGTACCAAACGGTGAAACGTTACAGAAGACTATAAAGCAGCTCTGTCTAGTTCAACACATGGCAACACACGGATGGAACAAAAGCGGAGAGCAGCTCACGCGGGGCTGCCTTTGGTACACCACCCTCCCTTACAATTACCCACCGGGGACTGACCTTGGCCACGTGGAACTGCCTCCCGCTCTGCAGGCAAACTTGGACCAGGGCAATTAACAGAGGTGCTGGGGAAGATGATGACATTGCACAGCTTTCCAAAATACAAACACATTTCTGTGAAACTTGGAGCAAACCAGGAAATTTTATAAACACTGTTGTTTTTGAAGCACTCTCCTCCAATCTAAAAAACCAGTTACTATCAATTCTCTGTAACATAAGAAAGTGTGTAAACACTTAGAAATCCAGTGTCACCTTCTTACAGGGAAGAAGGGGGGGTCACAAAGACAAAAAAACTCTACTAAACCTACACCAGAATTTTGTAGTCAGTGGGAGACACACACAACAGGACCAAACAACAAGAGACAAGAGAGACTGAACGTAAACCTTCCCTTACAGTCACTGCTGAGCGGTTTAGATTATAGAATTTCAACAGAACAATCTTTTAAATCTGAATTTAAGATAAAGTTGAAGACAGCCCCAAATCAGGAACTTTGGTTTCAAACATGAAGTGAATAAATGCCACCACCAAGCGTTTATCACTTCATCACGAAGAAGAAAAGGCGGATGCAGGCAAACCAGCTAACTACAGCACAGTATGGAAGTCACTTCCCAGCCCCTGTATGCAGAGGGATTTCAGGACTTGGCACACATCCCTTTCCTATCATGACCAACTCTGCTGACTGCTGCTTACAGTTTTCCTTGTCTCTTGAAAAAAATCTCCTTCCTGACCTTTCAAAAACAAAATATTACATTATTTCAAGAGCCTACCCCTTCCAGATGC